GTATACATTATCTATGGCTGAAGGGAAACAAAAATTATGAATTTTACGGTCCCCCCCCCCCCTGGGGACTAAGGGATGGGGCCAAAACCCCAAAATTATTGCAATCTTTAAAAATCTTCTTCTTTACTCCTGGACATCAAGCAGTCAAACTGTTGGCATGAATGTAATGAGCATTGAGTCTTCTACCAAAATTGTGAAATTCATGGCCCCAGGGTCAGGGGTTCTTGTGCTAGGGCGGGGCTATATAGATTATAGAGTGAAAATGCATTATTTCTTTGAATATCTTCTTCTCTTCTCTTGGGTATCAAGAAAACTAACTAAGTACATAGTTATGTTAAGCAAGATGTGAATTGTGAATTTTATGGCCCCAGGGTCAGGGGTTCTGGTGTTAGGGCGGGGCTCTATTGATCATATAGTGAAAATGCATTTATTCTTTGGAAATCTTCTTCTCTACTTCTTGGTATTAAATAAACTAATTAAGCACATAGTTATAACGAGCAGGAGTGCAACTTCCAAAATTGTGAATTTTATGGCCCCAGGGTCAGGGATTCTGGTGTTAGGGCGGGGCTCTATTGATCATATGGTGAAAATGCATTAATTCTTTCAAAATTTTCTTCTGTGCTTCTGGGTATTAAATAAACTAAATAAGTACATAGTTATGATGAGAAAGAGTGCTTCTTCCAAAATTTTGAATTTTATGGCCCCAGGGTCGTGAAAATGCATTAATTCTTTGAAAATCTATTCCTTTGCTCCTGAGTTTTATGCCAATGATCCAAGTATATATATATATATATATATATTTCTGATGAAGATAGGTGCATCTAGCAAAAAGGTTATTTTTTATGCCCCTTGGATCGGGGGGGGGGGGGGGGCTGTAACATAGTCTGAAAATAAATTAATACTTTGAAATCTGCTCTTTAGTATTAATCAACCATTTTATGAAAAACTTTTGAAATATGTGGTCCCAGTGTCAGTGGTTTCTTTGGGGTGAGGTGCACAACTGGTTATAAAGTGGAAGTGCATTTTCTCTTTGTTACTCTGATCTACCTCTGGGTATTGAGTAAATAGAGTAAGCATGCTAAGTTTATAATTATGATCAGCAATGATGCCTCTTTCAAAATTGTGAATTTCGAATTTCATGGCCTCTGGGGTAAAATACGAACCAATTTTAATTATCTGAAAGTTGTTACACGATACTCAGGTGACCTATAAGGCCCTCGGGCCTCTTTTCTATTTGATACTTTATTTTGAAGTAATACTCAGTGAGTGTTATGATACTATCTAATGAAACACTGTTTTTTCAAACGTACCTCGTTTAGGACTGTATTCTGAGCAAATTTAATCACAATATTTTTTTTATTTATGTACCGCAAAGGAAGTGTAAAGGGGAGTGGGGGGGGGGGTGAATTTTAACCACCACGTCCGTCTGTCTGTAGATGTGATTTTGTCGGGACCGTCTAGAGTTTAAGACTGAAAAGAAATAATGAAAACTAAAAAAATATAAATCACTAAGTACCGGTATAAAATTTTGATTTGTATAGATTGTGTAAATAGTATTATTTTTTTTTTCTCAACAATCAATTTGCAGTGTCTTGTCTACCAAAAATGACAGTTGCAAATTATTTTGCAATGTTATTAAAACAATGTAATAACAATGTATGAGTATTCATGTTTTTTTTCAGCCTGCACCTTAGTTTCATTCATCAAAAAATATAATGAACAATTATATTACATGTATCACTCTTTATGAAACTCCTCTAAATTCTATAAAATATTCGTGATTTGGCACCTTTTCTGAAAAAAAAAATAGTTTTGCTTATAGAAATTAAGATGAACTTAAATATGATTAATAAATATTAGCGAAAATTTTCAGTTTAGTGTGCCAATTAATTATTATATCGATAAAAAAAAGCTTTGTCCACAATTTTACCGGACACCCTTCGTAAATGATGTTTTCAAAGTTTTTCAAAACTTGTAACACCAGTTTTTCAAAATTTGTTTTCAATAGAGAGAGGCAGATAGACATGGTTATCGGCATTGTCCTGATATTTCTGCTTATCAGTTGTACGATATCTTATGGTAAGAATTTAAATTTTTAAATTTTTAAATTGCAGTACCATTTTTTCCATAGATAACTTGGACAATCCCCGCACTCAAACATTCATTCAGGGTTAATTGCACTTTTCCTCATATACGATTTGATAGCCTTTGTGTTTCAAAGGGAAAAAAGATAAACCGCTGCGGAGATTTAACATGTACGAAAATAGTCATCTTTCATGTATCAGATCCGAACTCCTTAATATCTTTAAGTTTGGCAACTTGTATCTGAGGTCGTCTTTTTTTGGCTAATATGAACATTTTTCTCACTTTATTTCAACCTGAAATATCGGTTCACAATGTTGCTTCATAACATTTTTTTGGATTAGATAAGGGTTTATGGTGACATCTTGCTTGAAGAAATGATGTCGACATGTAAGATTTTGTTGCGCGTCAATGCGTTATTTTCAAAATTTTCAAAAAGATAATCAATTCCTTTATCCACCATGATCAAAAGTATACGAGTAGAAGAAGAATCAATATAACAATTCCCACTATGAAACTCATTTTTGCTTTAATATTAAAAATACATGGATGAAGTCTTTATCTTATTATATTCTCTTTATTTCACATATTTAATAATCATTCAAAGTATATTAGCAACAATTTTCTGAAAAAACACCTACTTGAATTGTCTGATGAGAAAATTTATCTTTGATAACTCCTGTGACATACTGTATATTATATATTATTCAAAAAGAAAACCACCACATTGAAACTATTAGAAATTTTTACAATACGCTATATGTCATATATTTTCTATCATTCTCATATTTTTATATATATATATATAATAATCTATGTTTCTAATATTTAATAATCATTTAGCATTTATGAACATCAATTTTCTGAAAATACTGACTTGTCTGATGAGAAAATAATTTGATCTGTAAAGAAATGCTTTTACGACAGAAAATTTAGCTCTTAATAAACCAGCATGGCAACAGAATGCCTTTCCAAATAGAGCAGTAACATGGGGAGCGGGTAAAGCGGTAGATGCACAATACTCTGATCGTGGAGCCTTTGGAGAGCAGTGCACAATATCAGACAACAATAAGCAAACAGCAGAGTGGAGGGTAGATCTACAGAGTGTGGTCAGTATCAGCCACATCAACATATTCTACAGGACGGATAATATACCAAGTAAGTAGAACCAAATTTATTTATTTAGGGGGGGGGGGGGGGGAGCTCCGACATGGTGATTCATTTGAACCTTCGTAAGCAAATCCTAGGTTTTCAAAGTTTGACTTTTTAATTTTTTTATGAAAAAAATTAAGAATATTAATTAATATCCCTGACCCTTAGAACCTTTCAAGATCGGATCATGTCGTGGAGCCTATTTATTTTTTTTTTCCTGAATAACAGCTGTTGATTGTATTTCTAGGTCCCGGCCGTTACTACGATCGCTTTGCTGGATTTTTTGTGTACGTTTCAAATACAACCCAAGGAGAGGATGGATATCTTTGTTTCCATGAAATACAGCAAGTGGACAGAACACCAACAGAGAACCAGACAATAAGCTGTCCTGTACATGGACGTTATGTTATATATTACAACGAGAGGAGACCGGGTGTGACGTATCCAAGTTACTATTCACAATATGCTTACAATGATATTTGTGAGTTGGAAGTTTATGGTATGCTACTTCTCAAATGTTTTTTTTTTTACTAAACCTAAAATATTTTTTTGATATAACTGTTTATTCAATAGTTAAAGAAATACTTGTAATCGATATACTAGGTACTTTTTTTTAATTTATCGACACATAAAGCTGTCTTAATGTTATAAATTAGGGTGCTTTAACAATGGGGTTTATGGAGAGGATTGTAACCAAACATGTTCCGACAAATGTCAAGATCGGAGATGTAACATCACTACTGGTCGTTGTCTGGGCTGTATACCGGGCTATCAAGGTGCTCGCTGCAGTCAAGGTACGTTTTTGTGGTTTTTGTTTTGTTTTGGGGGTCATTGTTTTCTTTCCGCCAATTTGGTATTGTTATTGAACTTATGAGCTTGAATTTTGTTTGTCATCTCCATATATTCATTTGAAGAAAATATTAAAGATCTGACATTAATCAAAATAAATAATATACTATGAGGAAGTAAGTGTATGATTTCAAGGCGCGGATCCAGGAATTGAAGTTAGAGGGGGCGCCAAAAGTAGGCAAGGGGTCTGGGGGCCGCCTTGGGGCCCGCAGTGGGTCCAGGGCAAAGCCCGGGGGGCAGGGGGCGATGCCCCCGGAAGCTCCTAGATTCTAGAGATTTTGTAGGGTAAAAATGAGGTCTACCAAGTATACATATTTAATTATTTACATTTTCTGGACGAAACTCTGATTTACGTTAATTTTGACAATTTTAAGGGGGGGCCTCGGGTGCTCCCCCCTTCAATCCGCCACTGATTTCAGTGCATAAAAATAGTCGAAGGTTTAACTTTTAAAACATTAACGAAACAAAACTAATTGCGCATATGCTTTCTTTAAAGATAGCAGACGTTTTCCATATGATAATCTGAAGTCATACAACATGTGGTTAATTTGCGCTTTAGAGTAATTTATATTTTAACATAAGTAATAAGTATTAAACAGACTAGTACGATTTACTTTTGACTACTTAATGAATGCTAAAAATATTATTTTGGCTGGCATCTTAAAATTGATACTTGTGTATTGGAGATGTTTACATTTTGTGTTCAGTATTTAATTGTTCGTTTCCTGTTAATATTTTCAGTCTGTGATAAGTATAGTTATGGGCTTGGCTGCACTTTATTATGCTGTAACTGCAGTGACGGAGACCCCTGTCATCATGTGAACGGGAAATGTCTCAGTGGGTGTAGCGAGGGGTGGACGGGAGAAAAATGCCAGGCTGGTATGGCTCTACCTTAGTAAAAAAAGTATTACATATGCAAATATACAAAGTATTACTTCATTGAATATCTAAAGACAAGACTTGAGAATGAAATTTTTTCAAGCAGTAAACATTTTCATATATTTACATTCAGTATAATTTTCCTTATGAAATCCATTAGAAATCCACGACGTTCAAATTTCTATAACACACGCGAAACCTTGTCACCGAGCGTTAGAATACATAGAAGGAACTATATGCAATTTCAATGCTCCAGGAACACCAAATGTAAAATGTTTTATTTCAATTTAATGAAAACCTATAACCCTGGAAAATTAACGTAAAAATTAACGTAATGTGCGTTAAGAATTAATTTGTCACTTTTTTCCTCGCAATGTTTGTTTGCGTACTTATAGTAATTTAATTTTGCAACGTCATTTAACGTCATTAGACGTCACAAACGGCTTTTACATCTATTAACTACGGCAGTTTTGAAGGGCGCTAAATTCACATTAAAGATTAGCGAAATAAGCAATTATGGAGAAGGAAAATTAGAGAATGTAAATATAAGCATTGAATTCATATTTTGGGATGTCTTCGGTCCTATAACACACCTGGCCGTGCCGACAAATTATCATACCGCGCATTCAATTTGTCGGCACGGCCAGGTGTGTTATAGGACCGAAGACATCCCAAAATATGAATTCAATGCTTAAATAATACAACTGACTGTAGTTCTTGACAGAGCTTTATTTTTGCACCATGCAAAGGGACAAAATAATACTTTTTTAAAAAAGATTTTTTTAAGAAGTCTTGCTTCGTATATCAATGTTTCTTTATATAATAGGGAATCTTTTTACAATGTACACCGTTAAAAGCATAATTGACAAAAAATGTTTAGATACATTCAGTAAGTAATATTTTTTTTACAAATTATAGTAAACATTTCAGTTAGAAGATACACTTCTAGCCAGGAATTTTACTTCATGATCTATTTTAAATTTAAAATCTGAACATGAGTAAACATTTTTATAGGCTTATAAATTTACCTCTTTATTCTGCATAGAATGTTCTGCGGGGTTTTATGGAAAGAATTGCGGTCAGAGATGCAGCGAGAATTGCTTTGTTACAAACAGATGTGACCGGTTTACAGGGGAGTGTATGGAGAAATGTAAGCCAGGTTGGGAGACACCCAGATGTACACAGAGTAAGTCACAGGAAATTGAAGGGATAAATACTTTGGTCAATATATTCCCGGCCCAAAGACCAAATTTAAAATCGAAATAACTCTCAAAAATGTTGATAAGAAAACAAAATTGTCATCATGTGTTTGAAAAGATGTCAACAAACATCGCTCTTGTGCATCTTTTAACACTTTACAACTTACAAAATTGTTATGCAAAATATACTGAATCCTCACGTCATAGAAAAATTACGTTACCATTTCCCCGCAAGCACTTTCTTGGGGGGTACAAGTTTCTCTAAAGTTTAGCGTAGATAATATCATGACGTAATATTTTAATTAGAAAATAATTTTTCTTATTTTATGAGATTAAGCAAATATGAAATAGTTGGAATTTTGCAATAAATTGAAGATTAAATGAACTTTCTAAAGTGCAAGAAAATGCGTGATTGCGGGGAAACGGTAAATGCGTGATTTTGCGTCAGAAATAGGAAATGGTATATGCGTTAAAATGCGTGACTGCGGGAAAGGGAGTTAAACAATTTATCTTTTATCAATTTCCCTGCTATAATTAGATAATGATATATTGCCTGTTGATGATTTATAAGAATGTGAGGGATTTACGTATGGCGATGACTGCCGTCAGATCTGTGGACACTGTCTCAATGGATCGGTTTGTCACCACGTAAACGGAACTTGTTTGGAGGGGTGTTCTCATGGATTTCATGGGGAGACATGTATGACAGGTATCTTATTCTACCTTTACGGAAAAAGAAAACAAGAATTTAAAAACAATAAATTTAAAAAAGAATATAAGACATTTCTGTTTGGAGGTGCAATTTTTACAATTTTTGTTAAATAAGTGTACTTTTTATTAAATAAAATATCCACGCAACTTTAAAAATGACCTCATGCAGAAAAGAAGTGATATATAATTTTTTATATTGATAGAAATGTAGGATTTAAAAAAGAATAGTAGTAATGATTATTATACCCAGAAAACTCCATTTTCTTTTTATCTCTATTTCATCATAGTTATATCAATATTTTTGTTTACCAGAGTGTTCTGCAGGATACTTTGGTATAAACTGCAAGGAAAACTGTAAGGCTTATTGTGGCGGAAACAAAACATGTGACGTCATCACTGGTGTTTGTGACGAGAGCTGTATAGAGGGGCTACACGGACCTCTATGTGATGAAGGTGTAACATATTAATGAGCATCGTGAAACATATTAATGAGCATCTGAGAAGTATATGGTGTTTGAGAAAAACTTTTGTCATCATATCATTTTACATTTGAATTTAAAAAAATGCACGTTAAATAAATATGCATCGAATGATTAAAAAAAAGCTTCAAATTATAGGAACTTTTCTTAGCAGAACTGCGTGTGACACCTGTGAACCCAACACCACTAGTATCATTATAAACATTGTGATCTCTTTATTCCTCGTTCTGACTGGTAGTATTCTTAACTTTATCATATGGAAGAGGAAAAATGGTAAGTACGTGTAAAGTAATTGCTGGATCAGCGCATTTTTTGAAAAGTAAACTCTGAATCCTTGGTTCTGATTATCAGTAAACTCAATTGAGTATCCCCAGTAATACTAACAAAAGTTATCTTAAAGTTGCATAGATACAGATTTTAAGTTAACATTTAAATGCTAATAATTGAAATGCTATTACAAAAATAAAACTCGTATAATATTCTACAGAAAAAATGAGAAAATATGGACTTAAAATCTGTGTCAATACGCCTTTAAGAATGAACAGAGTTTGAAAGAGCTTGATTGTGCCCAAACGTGTATGCATGTACTACTTTTATATGTTATTAAGAAGGTAATTCAAAAAATCAGTTTGCAGCTTTTAAAATTGTATGAAACAATGACAACATAATGCATTATTTTTTAAATAGACTTAAAAAAACCAAATAGGAAAATCAAAATTTATATTTATATTTTCGATCTATTGCCTAGAGATTTCTAAACTTAAAACTAGATAATTTTTCTTTATTTAGCAGGAACTGAAAAGGTAAGTTTTAAATCTGATATAATATTAACAAAAAATAAATCGAATATCATTTTAAATATATTTATTAAGACAATTTGGCTTTATTTCTCTTAATAGCAAAACACTTCAAAGATTAAGATGAAGGATGTGGATGCCCCTGAAAGTACAGGTCTGATAAAATGATTTTAGAGCCATCATCTCTGAATGTCAGTGGTTATACATTAAATATTCAAGCAAGTGAATTTATCTTTAATTAATGGATGTAATGATTAAACACCTTTACTTTTTATTAGATTTTTAAAAAATACTTTTTTAAAGTATTTCCCCAGCAATACACACAAGGGTATCTAACAGCAACAGAGGTTTTAAAATTTAATTGCTTTTATTTTTTTCCAGGAAAATCAACAACTGGTGAAGGGTATTTATTTTTTAATTTTCTTTCAAACTTGATATACTATGAAATCACAAATTTTCGTGGGGATTTAATTTTTGTTGTTTTCGAGGTATGAGGAGACCAAGGAATTCATGTCTACCATGAAATGTAAAATGCATCATACATAACTACTCAATAGTTCTTTATTCACGAATTTAAATCCCCACAAACCAAGAGTTTTTACACAAACCAGGAAAATTTAACCCCACAAAAACTTGTGACTTTACAGTTTCTTTTATAATTGCAATCGACAACCTTATCAACATTTCAAAACTTTCTTCATAATTATATGTTTTGTTTCATACTAGAGACGGATCCAATTATACAGACCTAGGAGGTCTTGATAAGGCAAACACATACGAAGAACTTTCTCATTATACCGAGGATGTTGATAAAATATAAGATGATTTTCTAAAGTAGAGGTGCCCGAAGTTGGGATTACAAAGTGACATGGACAGCAAACACACTCTTATGTTTTAGACATACTGAAACCATGCATGCATATTTGAGTTTGTTTATTACGCATTTTTAAATTCAAAAAAGGACTTAAGCATAGACAGCTACAAATTATACTTGATTGAGTGAACTGCAAAATTTCTCTATCAGAAGCCTCTTTGTAGTTGACCACAAAAAACTGAATGTTTTTTCCTCAATAAAATGGATCTTATTATTTGTCATATGGATGTGATCGGTCGGTAAAGAATGGTCACTCCACCTTGGCATCTGAACCCATTTCTATGTTTAAGACGTCCCTGTTTTCTCTGCTTCTGATGTAAATTGTTTAATTGTAATTAAACAAATACTCTGAAGTAGACATCATAAAGATACTTGACTTTCTGATTGACAATATTTATGTGGTTGTTGGAGACTAGGTCTTCCAATAATCTATTGGTCTCTCCATGGGTACCAATTGTACCCTGTTATAAGCAGACCTATTTTTGTATCCATATGAAGCGGAATTTGTTAAAAGTCTTTTAAGTGAAAAGAAGAAAACTCAGCGTGACCTTTCTGTATATAGACGACGTATTGTCAATTAACAATTATGGTTGTTTCCATATTACTGTCACATTGAATCGATATATCCCAGTGAGCTGAAGATAATAGATACAACAGAGTCTAACACATATGTTTTTTATTTGGATATTTTGATTTAAAGAGACAATAATGCTTAGCTAACATCCAGGCTCTCTGATAAAAGTGTTGACTGTAATCATCAACTTACTTATGCAGCAATATACCTTCTGCACCTCCATACGGAGTTTATATTTCTCAGTTGATTGATACGTAGAGTATGCTCTACGTATGTACAATTTCTAAAACGAGATAGATTTTTGACAAACAAGTTGATGAAATAATGATATTAGCAGTATTGCATAAAGTTATCATTTCGTAATTTCTATCGTCGAAATAATGACCTTGTCATCAAATACAATTTATCATTGAGTCAAATGTTAATTTGACGGAAGTTTTTCATAAAATTGTTCTTCTATTATTTTCACACTGAAATGACGACGAATTTTCCCGTTATTTTCCGATCATGACAAAAAGCAAACGGCAAGTGTGAGTAGTTGGCAGGGGATGCTCACTCCTTTATGGTACCTGGTCCCACCTTTGATGTCTTGGAGGTCCATGTTTACTCTGCTTAAATTATGTATTGTTTAATTGAATTTTGAGCTTGAATACTGTTCGTTATTTCCATATATTTATTGATAAAGATGTTTTTTCTCGAATGCTGTTCCTTATATACACATGTTTCTTTGCACATCATTGTTTAACTATTATTATTGCTGACAGAAGTACATTAAATCTGATCACAATATAGTACAAATAAAGTTTTTATCTCTACGCTTTAGTCTTTAACAAGTTTATTTTCTTCCACTGTATTCAGTGATGTCAGATAATCATTCACAACCATGGTACGTTGATTTTAAACCTCTATGGAAGATTTATAGTTCTGCATATTTGCTGCTGCAATTTTTTTTCAAAGCCATGAAGTGACCAAAGATATGTTCTTTCAACCGGAATAATTCCATGTTCTAGCCCAGAAGAAAATCTCTATCATCCTTTTGAAAAAGCACTTGATGGAACATGGCCTCGATGTTTTCCTGTACAGCTATGATCTCCTGAGAAAATCAAGGAAATATTCCAGGCAAACTGCCCATCAGATCTGGCCCCTAAAGGAGTTCCTTTTTCAGCCATAAACCCATTAATTGTGCTATAAGTACACGAATGTTCTCAAGATTTTTGTTGTGAAATACACGATATTCCCCATCATGCCCGCCAACATATTCTTCTTGAACTATTTCAGCAAGGTTCTTAAAAAAACCCAAAACTAAAAAAAGACCAAGTCATAGAACGGAGTTCCATAACCCCTTATCTCGTCCTATCAGTAAAACTCAAATAGAGTCCAATATGACATCTGTGGTGTGTGTTTCTATAAAGGTTCTTACAATTTGTGGTAGGTAAATATTAGATTATATTTTAATCGAGTTTCAACTTACACTTAAATATTAATATAAGGTAAACAATGATTGTAAGTGATCGGCAGTTACCATTTAAATCACTGAAAGATCTTTAATGAAATATTAAAAATATTTTTAGTATTTATGTTTTATTTAATTTACTAGTTGCATAGATTTTTATAAATTTATTACAGTGTTGACAGAAAATGTTTTGGGGTACTGTTCTAGGAGTTCATGCTGTGGTGAGGGGTGTCAATGCATTTATTCAAATTATGGTTCTAGCTATACGACATGTAATTGCCGTAAGTTATGTTTAAAATAATTTCATTATCTCAATAAATGTTAACATTTAAAATTATTTTTCAGATCAGTTCCTCATTGCTCATTTTATTCAACATATAAAGCAGCAAGTACTTTACGATTTTAATCAAATTGAATTCTTCATGATAGAAGATATTTAAGCATGAACTTAACGATAATACTTGTATCTTTCTTAGATTTAAGATGAATATACTTAAGCATTACACTTCGGTATAAATATAGTGCAGTGCATTTTAGCTTGGTTTACGCTGTATTTGACAGGATGAAATGGACTGAAAAATAACTTAAATATGGCTAAAGTTTATTCGAAATATGACTTGTAATTAATTGAAATATGACTTAAAGTTTACCTTAGAAATAAACAGCAATTATGTTAAAAGTTCTCTGGAAAATGAACTAAGACGGTAGCGTAAGATCTGATCACCTACCAAATAAGTTCCAATATTGCATGAGCTCTTAATATATTTGAAGTCACAAGCGATGGTATCGGCTGTTTTAGTTTTCAGGTTTAAAAAGTATATGTAAGTGCGGTTTTAGTCTAATTGTAGTTTTCAAAACTTCATTCACATCGAAAGAAGATCTATTGTACACCCGTTGTTTGAAAAAATATTCATGTTTCAATAGTTTTATCTTTTTCATCGCTATTTGTTTAGAAATCTTCCAAAACTAGTTGCGTCGTGACAAAAATATATAGGCAAAATATGATATCGCTCTGTGATTCGGTCAGGCTATGAACTCTGACCCTCTAATATGTTCAAACAAAATTGAACGTATTTTCTTCTCAATAGCGTCATCAAATACAAATAATTGCAACTGTAAATTCTGAAATATGAATAAAAGTTTACTGAAATGGGACTTAAAATTTTCTGAAACCTAACTGAATGGAAACATTCTTTTATTCAGTCACCTTTATAGAAAATCGATGGCCATTTTACTGACTTCTGAGTTTTATACAGGTTCTAAAAATGTTAAATTCAAGGGATAGCCTAAAGAAGATAAATAAAAAATGTATAAATCAATGTTCATAAAAGTACAATACTCATATATCATATATCATTTATGACAGCCTCAGGAATCTCTGCTTATAACTACACGTTATCACCTTGGAGTGAGTGGACAGCTTGTAATGTATCATGTGGAGGTAATGGTACACAACACAGATACAGGACCTGTAGAGGATGCTGTAGTAATCAAGTGTTACAGGAGCCTAGAGACTGTGGCTCAGACGCTTGTCCAGGTTAGTACATGTAGAGAAAATGGTGTACTTTTAATCTTGATTTCATATCAACAACAATTATAACTTATGATATTTCATCAGATATGCAGGTATTTTAAAGCCGCATTCTATTAAAGTAAAGAATTTGGAAGACTGACTACTTGGACATCATTGTTGCGATTCTCATATTCCTGAATAGAATATAATTTTTACCTCCATTTTTTGCTCTACGTATCGACCTTTTGCCTGCATCGTTAGTGGGTACTTGTAAACGTAAATGAGAAAATTTGAAACCAAAATTATATCCAGATAGAAGTGTATTGGATGTGTACTGTTAATGTACTGGGAACCCAATATCTGGTTACAGCTCTATGTAACGCTCAGTAATAAAACACTCAATAAATGTATTATTTCGTTCGGAAAACAAAAAAAAATTGTTTGAACTAAGAGTTATCTCCTTTTACATCCCATTAATGAAAGAAAATTAAACTAACATTATAAATTGCATTACCGGCATCGTTAAAACAAACAGCATAGAGTAAATTATTTCGTCTTTAGCATGTTCTAATGCTCCACCAACCAAACGTCTATATCAACCATTTACTGTAGATTAATGTATGATCTATTATATTTTAAGAGCGTGTCTACGAGAAAACCATGCAAACGGTTATGGGAGCAAGGTTCTCTGATCAACTTCATGTTTTGTGTGTAAATTTCTTCTATAATATGAAATATTTTGCCACAAATTTTTTTTCAGTGTGGTCTCACTTAAGGGGGTAAATCGACATTGTTACTAAAAATAGAATTCTTGGTCCTTACACAGGTTGAAAACAGGAATTTTATAGGATTTTATATTAAAAAATTCAGCATTTTATTTAATAATGATATAAAGTATCCATACATGGTTGAAAGTAACAAAATACACTTGTTTCGGAAATTTTTTTTATAACCACAAACTGTGCCCCCGTTTAAGTGCAAAAAGGTCACAAATCTGACAAATTTCCAGATTTTTGAAAACTGGTGAAAATACTCACTTTTCAAAAACCTATAACTCAGAAAGTGACGCTTAGAATCAACTCAATCACATACCAATTATTAGACAACATGTCTTTCTACATTATTTAAAAAATCTGTCTTTGGACTCTCAAATTTTTGGCTGTACTTTTTACTCAAAGTTGGACAATTTTTTTTTCAATTTTCAAATTATCTCATCCTTGAACTTCAGCAAGGAGTTTTTTGTTTAGTTAAATATTTTCAAAAATTTAAATTTTGCTGTTGAAAAAATACCAGTATGTTGTACATTTTTGTTCTTAATCAATTTAATTATTTCTTAGGGGTTAAATGGGGTTAATGGGGGGGGGGGGTTACCTGAATTGTATTATTTTACAGTGCTTTGAAAAGGGTGATATTCAAATACTGCTTAGCACCTGTTTGTCAGTCAATAGACCAAGTGTGTTCTCTCTTATCTTAGAAAAAAATAATAAATTTGCTCAATTGATAATAAACATAGTACACTGGTACCTACAAATAAGTAGATGTCCCCTTTTAGTTTGGAGTTCACAAGGTCAAAGGTCAAGGGTTACAATTTTCTAGATATACCAGAATGTAGATTTTAATCATTCAAAATCTTGAGGACCCATTGCTTCACATACATCAAATTTAGTATACTGATTTCTTGAAAAGTAGGAAACCCCTCTTTGAGGTCACAATGTCTAAGGTCAAGGGTCAAACTGAACAGAAAGGAATATTAGAGCCATTTTCTTGACAGAAATATTGTCATGGCAACAAACTCAAAATGAATGATTAATGAACACCAAGTTTTTAAAATCAACAAATTAGGACATTTTTAATTTTTAATTTCATTGCAGATTAAAATTTGAATATTACCCAATAACTAAGTACATTCAACAAAAAAAAAATTACAATGCTTGACTGCTTCCTGCTATTTTATATTCACTTCCAAAATTAAAATGACCTTGAAATTTTGTATGCTTGAAAAAATTCTACTTGCCTAGGTATACATCATGATTCTAATTTAAGATAAGATTTAAAAGAAAAAAAATCACAGCTTCCCAAGTCATATTCTAAATTATTTGCTATACCTGTATACAGGAAATTAGTCTTTATAATAGTGTTATATTTGGTAAAACTAAAGCACTGTTGACCTTGATCTTTGACCATATCTAACAAAACAAACACTGAAAATTTACTCTGAATTTTTGTGTATTCCTGCAAGTGAAACCTGATACATATTAAATATTTAGATGTTAACAATGTTGAAATACAAGTACCAATAAAATCGTACAAGTTAACATATATGAAATACCCGGAAATATCGGTCATTACGCAAGTTTCTTCAATTAAAACACCATTTGGGTTGATCTTGAGGTCTCAAGCTTTCAAAATCTATAAGGTGTATCCAAACTATTCTGTTCAGTATGACTCCATTTTCTTCCTACGTAGCATCCAATAAAAGTTTAAAATTTAACAAGCACTGAAATTTCCACTCCTGGTTTAAAGAACAACTGGACTGTCTCCAAATACAAAAAAGTAGTACTCAAAGCATGTACCTGTGAAAAAGGACAGTTTTCAAATTAAATTGAAATAAACCATACTTGACATATTCTAAGATTTTTTAAATAAATGTCATGTTCATGATAATGCTACATTTATATTTTCCAATTTAAGAAAATGTCATCAAATTACTTGGGTAAGATTATTCACAAATTCTTCTGGCTATCTTTGAAAAAAAAAACAAGAGCCTCTTATCTTCTTGAAGTAAAGTAACAGAATAGGGAAAAATGCATGTGGCAAATCGACAGACAGACAAGGCAATTTCTATACTATAACATATCTTTATCATTTTCTCAGCAGTGGCAAGTAATTGGTCATGCTCAAACTGCATCTGCATTGTCCTTCCTCTTCTTATTTCTGGATTCTGTTCACAAAACTACATTGGAAACCCTAGGTAGTAATTCTTCATAGCTCCACAGCTGAAAATCCCATTGTAAAGCCCAGCCCTATCCAAGGAAATGAATACGAATAATCTGAAATTGCAAGAGAAATATAAGAATGAAATGAAATATTCTTTACAACGTACAATTTCCCAGTCTTATATTTATAATATCAGTTGTTTTAAACACAAACCTGTCAAGGAACACATGGTGCCCCTTGAATTTGAAATGTCTGCAGTCTGCACAAGTATCTGACTCTTTTTTCCAAATAAATGTGATCTCCCATAAAGAAAATTATACTATTCCATAAAGCCATAAATCATAACTGTTGCTATCTTCATAACATCTCATAAATATCTGAAAAAAATATTGTGTTTAATGAGATTCTTTATAATCATGCATCCCGCATATGAGGCAATTATAGTGATTTAAATAAACAATAAAATCCTTTCTTTATTCGTTATTACTGGAACTAACGGAAGCAGCTGTTGCAGAAAAAATACACAACCCTCGTAAGCGCGTTATGTAAATTTTTCCTGCAATAGCTGCGACTGTTAATTCCAGTAATAACAAACAAAGAAAGACATTTTATTGTTTAATATTTATATCTATTTAAATAATCATTTACAGTAAGATTAAAAAGATTAATTATTGTTTTATTGATGCGAACGTCTTCATACGTTTCATTGATAGAACACTGATCAAGAAATCTGTACAGGCGACATGCCTAATGTAGTTCATGCAGTGATTAACGCAATGGGTTTTCTTAGGAAATAAAGGAGAAAATAATCAGTGGATGTAAATATTTGACAGCGAAGACCCACCTATCCAATTCTTAATTTACCCTATTAGTAAACAGTCTTTGAAAACCCTGGACCTATTCAACTTTTCCTTCCCTCTTCATAACCCCACAAAGGCTACTTAGATCTCTATGCTATTTATAATTCAGCAGATGTGAATATGTTGCATACATGTATGTATTTTGCAATATTGTTGAATTTATACAGATATTCGTATTGCTTCAAGTACATGTACCAACCTTAAATTTCTCTTGACATGTTTGCTAGGTATATATTCAGGTCCAGTACAATCACTAGATTTAGCTACGTAGGCAGATTTTTTTTATAGAAATAAATAACTTTGGTAGCTAAATAAAGCTACTTCAGGTAGCTGAATAAAGTTAAAGTAGGTAAATCAAGCTACGTAGCTAAATCTAGTGATTGTACCAGACCTGATATTGTCGTGTTAAAAATCTTCTCTTGTATTTAATCAAGTCTCCATCAACATTGTTTATTTATTTTTTACATATCAATAAGCCTTTTTTATAGTGTACATAGTATTATAAACCAAGATCCAACTACATGTACTGTACCTGTTTCACTTTCAAATTCAAACGTTGTTGATTCGGTATCATCATCACTACATCCGTCTCGCTACCAAATGAATGTTCGCTGTCAGAATCATATTCATCAAAATCAGAGCCAGAATCTGACGACCCGTTGACAATTCATGCACCTGAATCCTTTTCTGAGGACGTACAAAATGTCGCAGGAAGCCATAAGGCCAAATAAAATAATAGTATTGTTTCCTGCTACCAGCCTAAAAAAAATAGGGTAGGTAGGTAGGAAAATTATTTCATTTTTAATTTTTATTTTATTTTTTTCTGACGGCATTTTTTGGATATGAACTGAATACATGATCAAATTAAACATATCACAAGTACGTCACTCAATAAAATCTTTTACAATTAAATTTCATGTCTTGATGCACAACAACTCAAGAGGTATTTTATAATATACAGTACACTGTGTAGAAGGCTCCTTTAGTTTTCTCAGTATTTTTTTTTCAGTTATGGAACATGAAGGTATTTGTCAAATAGATAACCAAACAAGCATTCCTTTAAAAACTCAGCCAAGGACCATATGTGTTACAGAAACCATGAACTTTGTCAGATAACATTGTATTTGATTTCTGAGCATGTTAATTTTATCGTTGTTTAATACTTTTTGTATATTTATTTTATATACGCACTGTCTATAGCGGATTTTCCAACCACGGATCATTCAGTGCATTTATTCTTCGATTCATGATACCTGGCAAAGATATCATAAAAAGTGGTAGTACTCGAAAAAGTTGTTATTGCGCTTGTTTTTATGTCCTTGTGGCAGCACCGTACCAAAATAACAGAGAGCACATGAGGCTGGCCTCTTCCAATGGCCGCCGCCATTTTGTTTTGTTTTTATAACACGGGAACCGAAAACGGTGACAAAACGACAAATTCCGGAAATATTTCGTTTTTTTCCGAATCGAAAAAAAAATTTAGGGTCGGCCCCCAAAAATAGGGTCGGTCGGGTAGCAGGAAACAAGACTATTTTTTTTTTTGGCCTAATGTTTACACGTGGTTACGGAACCGTACATCGATCCCGATGGATTTCATAATATTTTATGTATTTTTTACTTAGGCTACCAGCACATATGTAACAAATTAAATTCACAGGAAAGACAATTTTCTTCAAACCAAACATAATGTATGCCTAAAACGATTAGGCTAAATGACAGACATCTCATAATCATTATCTACCTTCTCTACAGAAGAGTGCAACAGGGGAGATAATTCTTACAAAATCTAAAATAACTGTAAAATACGTTTTTTTTTTTACATAAAAAGCAGGGGAAAATTAATTTATAGCTTGTATAAAATTCAAAATAATTTTTATTGTTTATATTTGTAAATATATTGCACAAAATTCATTTAAATTACTGTAAAAACTAAACTGATAAAATCACCATTTTTTCTATCATTTGAATTTGAGATGATTTTATTACGATGTAACTTTTATGCCCTTGAGAGTCCAAAGGTGGATTTTATATATTGTTGAGATAATATCTTAGAGATTTTTAAATGAGCAAAACTTTGAAAAAAGAAGCGTCACTTTCTAAGAATATATCCCTGAATATAGACAAAAAATGAATCATTATCATTTCTTGGCACCATGCCAATATTTGTGCTCTTATGGCAGCCTTTGATACTGGGGTATTACAAAAAATTTGATTTCAACTTAATCTTATGACTCAGTTCTGTGAGAAAACATTGCCCTTTTTTAAAAAATATTTTTTTTCTTTTTTACTTTTAAATATAGAAACGGTCGTTTTTTCACAATTTTTTTTTTGCATTTTCCCTTGAATATTGACCAAAATGAATTATTGGCTGTTACTAAAAATGAAAACAACCGATGCAAAAATAAAAAACATATTTCTGACTCTCAGTGGGTGTCCTTTAAGTTAATAACAAAAATTTGTTTGTTCTTGAGGCTGCCTACCAGAGCATTTTTCTATATATCTGCATGGTTTTCTCGTAGACACGCTCTTAACACATTTTATCATCTTATTTACTTCATGTTTTTAGATTGCAAACTAATTAAATATGAATGAATAGATAATGTATTTGTAAACTACATGTATTTGTTTTAATAGTAAATGGATCTTGGACTTCTTGGGGAGGATTCAGTAGTTGTGATAAATCGTGTGGTGGAGGCTGGAAACTTAGGTTCAGAGACTGTACCAGCCCCGCTCCAGCTGATGGGGGTCTACCTTGTATTGGCGATTCGGTGGAAGTGATCGGTTGTAACATGTTCCACTGTCCAAGTATAAAATAAACCATAATTTATTGGTTTTCTATAACTTTGTGGCTTTAAGTTGTTTAAAGATGATCATGAGCTACACAATTCCGTTTCCAATATTGTTTTTACGTATCAGTTAATATTAAATTCTCGAATTGACTGCTACCCGATAAAAATTTAACATGATCATAACTAACATACAAAAACAATAATGAGATCACTTGTAGCAAATTTGTTACACTTTTCAAAAGTTGATGGAGGATGGTCGGCATGGTCAAACTTCAGTAAACATTGTAGCGGAAGTTGTGGACAAGGTTTACATCTCAGAACGCGCACCTGCTCACAGCCGCATCCTCAATACGGGGGTCTAGACTGTACAGGAAACTCAACAGAAGGCATTCCCTGCAATCTCACAGCCTGTCCAGGTTTCCTTTTTATGACTTTCTGAAGATAGTTTTTAAAATATTTCATTACTTCATTACTATATGTAATGATCGGGGAAAAAACGAATTTTCGTAGTTGTATACATTGTCTAATGTATTTCAATATTTCAAAATTTGTGAAAAAATGTGACGCTTGTCAATATGAAACATCCTAAAAGATGAAATTTATTCACCTTTTACATGTTAATTTTATAGCTTTTAAAAGTACTGTATTGACCTTTAATTTAAGACATAAACAGAAAAAACAAAATTAAATCTCATATTTTTTATATAACTTGTAGTCACATTTAAGCATAAAAGTGTAATTCTTTTACATGTAGTTGATGGACTTTGGGGTCAATGGGGTCACTTCCGTCCATGCGACATGTCATGTGGCGGAGGAATACATATCAGAGTAAGGCAATGTAACAATCCACCACCATCTCACGGAGAACGTCAGTGTACCGGTAGGAATTTGGAATCTGAGACATGTAACACACAGCCCTGCCCAGGTATAAACTACACAAGTAAAGTAATTAAGAATTGTTTTCCTATAACTGGCAGTTATTTATCAAAAATCTACAAAAGATAATAATTGCTTTCTTTTTATTTACAGATCACATGGAATCCACTGCTTCTTCGGCTACAAAACATTTTATACAAGGCCCGGTTTTTGTTGGATGAAACACGTATGATATCCAACGAAAGTTATTAAAACAATAAACATGCATTCACAAAACATGTCGTTTTAAACGTAACGGGTAAATACAGACATGGCAAAAGAGAGGGCAAAAGTGCATCATTAGTTTGTTTCGATGTCACCCAATTAAATAATGAAAAAAAATACTTTTAAGGACAGATGATAGAAAAGACTTTTGTCAGAAAAATTGGAAATAACAACTTTGAGTCATGATCAAATTACTGTTATAATGATAAATATATTATATACCCCCTTAAACTAGCAAAATATATCCGTAGTTTTTTTTTGTTTTATTCAGATTTTCACAAAAATGGGATTTGAAGTGAAAAATATTCATGTAGATTATTAAGGATGGTTTCAGACAGGCAAAATTTTGAACATCGTAGGAGGTTTACCTTTCTTTATATTCTAGAAATTTATTATTTGCATTATTTGCAATGATATTGACCAAACTAGAGCAAAGCTCGTTACAAAGCAACGAGTAGGTCTTCCGTCCTGTTTGACCGGAAGTAACTTATTTTTTAAAAAAAAGAATGAGTAATGACGTCCAAAAATAGTTTAAATCCCCTTCATCTATGCTAATTAACGCAAAAATAAGCATTTTTTGCTACTTCCGGTTTGACCGGAAGTGACGACGACGGACGGAAAATTAATTTTTATGCTCCCAGTGATCGATTTTAACCAAAAACTTGTCAAGAACGGCAAAAATACGCATTTTCCGACTATTTCCGGTTTGGCCGGAAGTGACGTCATCGGGTGTTTTTTGACGACCCTAATAAATAAGGCTTGACATTTTAAACAACTTTGCTTCTTTGATGTATTACAAATTCTCAATACTTTTGGAGATTTCAGGAAAAAACTTTCGGCCCCTCTAGATCCCTTAATTTAGGGGTCAGCCCTTTTTCCAACATATCATTTGAAAGATCTTTTAATTCTGCACAAATAATATTCTATATGTTTTAACAAAATATTTTTAGTTTAGAAAATAAAAAGCACAATATGAGTAATTTTTGGCTCTTTGAAGCGTTCTAATTTTTGACCCCTATATAGCGCCATTTTGAATAGAGAAATCAAAAAACAAAAACTGATGTGCACAACTTCAATCCTTCTATTATCTAAAATCTGTAGAATTTCTGCTCCAGCTTAAGCCGTCTCTGAGCCTTTGTCTGGAAACGAAAGCCTATAAATTTTCTTTTAAAGGGAAATAACTCAAAACTGGAAGTGACTTTTTGAAATGTTTGACAGCATTCTGATAGAGTTTAGTAACGTCTATTAACTCTGAAAATTTGAGCGAAATCCATTGAGAAATGAGTGAGATATGAGGCTTCAAAGTTGGCGTCTAGGTAGTAGAAGAAAAAAAAAGAATAATCTTAACCAACAGAATCAGTAGAAGGTCTTCCGTTGGAAACGGAAGACCTTAATAAAAGGATAACACTTAAAGCTGTGTTTGGGGTCTTTGTCGATCACTGTTTGTGCTTTTAAATCCTAACTTAATATCTTTTTAATATATTTATTTACTACAGAAGTATGTCAATTTGAAACCTAATTTAAATGTTAAAAATAATTTCAGACTGTAATACAATATTTATTTTCATGTTTTTGTCCTTACGGTTTTCGAAATATAGAGAATTTATACTTATCTGCCCTTGATTGAACAATATGCATGTACGAGAGGTGGGGCTAATGTCGTAAGAATGGATCTAAAATTAGACTGGATGAATAACAATGGTATATATTTAAAAAAAAAACCCGAAATCTCTGTATGGCACAAGTACATTATTTACAAAGGTTTAAAACGTATGAGTTAGTTAGTAAAGAATACTTTAAATCGATTGCTGACTACTTGACGTGTTCGAGTACAGTGTCCTACTTATCTTAAAACATGCTATCAGTAAGTCACGTGAGGGAATTTAGTATTCACAAAATTACTAGAGGAATGAATTATAATATTCAACGTGTCACAGCCCTTAGTTACAACAAGAAAGCGAGTGTAAGAAGTAGCCGTTTTTTCACCTTTTAAAAATGAGAGCATGTTTGTCTATTAATTTCCTTTTAACACAACATTACATATCCAATTATACAACTACTGTTAAAAGGAGAATAATAGACAAACATGTGCTGGTTATGTATAAAGCCAGTAAAAAAGTGTGGACAATCTCATTACCGTACGGAGATTGAAGAACTTTTGATGACCCCAGCCTCAGAAAAGAGATTTGTACATCGTAGATACGTATACATACTTTTATAACTTGTAATTAAGTAAAGTTTTAGATTAGATGTTGATCATTTCTGCTATTAAAAGAAAAATGTCTGTTTTGAAAGTTTTTTTGGCGCTAATTTCGCAAATCATCAGTTGCAAGTGCAGTCATCCTTTGAAGTCTCAAACATCATATGCAGGTGTCGGGATATTACATCACAAATAAAGAATGAAAATGGAATGGATAAATCCAGCTTGTTAGAAATGAAATTAAGTTGATAGTAGGTTCAATTAGAAAGCTAGTATTACATCGATTTTGTAAACGGATGGTGCCTTTTACCAATTTCGCTTGACTTATCGAGTCGAAATATGTGAGTAAACATTTGCTTATTGATAAAACCTTACTGAAAGCTGGAGCCACGGACGTTTGGTTGTGTGACGAAGTGGTGAAATTAAATGATCCAAGGTCGGTCCAATATTTGGTGCTTTAGTTATTCGTCAATCTTACGAAACGATAACTTTTGCATAGATGCAAAAACGCAGGAGCGTTGAATCCATTGGAAAAATACGACGAATCGAGGACCCTGATACTTCAGCAGCAAGAAAAGTTAAAACGTACCTTTGTCCACTAAACAGAAAAACATCTACATGTAAAAATCTAAGTCGTATGTCATCCATAGACTTAAAAACTGCTATATATGGTTTACAGAGAAAAAGAAGACAGATGATATTCTTATGTCGATACGATATATCCCAATAAGCTTGAAATTAGATACCACAGAGTCTGACACGTCTGTTTAATATTTGGATATTTTACTTGAACGTTAATGGTAAGCTATCAACCAAGCTCTACTATAAACATGATGACTTACTTTTCAATCGTCAACTTCCCTTACTTATACATCAATATACATTCATCATCTGCATATTGATTTTATATCTCTTAGTTGATTCGATACGTATAAATATTTACCAAATAATTCTAAATTTGTTGCAGGTACACGTACGTGTACTTTAAATTGTACATGTCTTTATCGTTGACCAGTAATTTATGAATAAATTAAAAACCCAAGCCGTTCATTGGTTGGATCCATTACGTCGTATACGATTTGTCGTACAGGATAGGAACATGCTCTACTTCAAAAACTGTCTATACGACTTTAGAAAGTCGTATAATACAAGTAATAGCGTATTTCACACAGTGATATCTTGCTGTATACGACAAGCTGTATACAACTTGCATTACCGTGTAAAGCAGACTTAAGAATTCAAATAACTGAAAAACATAAATGATTGGGAAATTATTCATTCATTATATTTAATTGCCTCCTATATGAAAATTAAGCATGTCAGAGAAAAAAGATATTTAACAAACCGGCACAGTATTTATAGCGAATTACAAAAATACGGAAGCGTATAGGAGATACTCGGAAATTTTATACTTCAATATTTAACGATCGAATTTGTTAAAATGACAGTTTATTTTATAATTGTCAACAATGAACTTTAATGTTTACACATTTATCTAAAATAAATTACACTTAAATCATATATTTTAAATCTTTCTAATTTACACTTCATATGCTGTAAGTTCATCCTTTTTTAACGTATTTCTGTAATTTGTTTATAATTATTTACATATTCAACCTAATATTAACGGTTTTTGACTTACATGTACATGTACACGTATCTGCTTTTTAAGCTTAAATCTTAATTTACCACATGAATGCGAACTTTTTGTCTCGCATCTTCTCAGTTCTTTCTGGATTTTTTTTTTGCAGAATCAAGAAGTTGCAACTGAAGCCAAAGTGAAATTACAACACAGATGAGAAGAAATATCACTCAAAAGTATATATCTTTTTAAAATTAAATGTCACCATCGTCAGCAATATCCTTGAAAAGTGAACTTGTGTCAAAAACAAAAATATGTACATATTTGTGAAGTACATATGTAAAAATGGGATAGGGGGCTAGTGGGCAAGTCAGAAGACTTATTTTATAACTTATTTATCTAAGTGTTAGAATTTTCATTTGATGGCATATGAAATAGGCTTGTGAACTCTGGTGTCTTATAAAATAATTGTGTACATAGTTCTATAGGTATATGTGTGTTTTAAATGGATTTTGTGAAACACGTAAAATTTTACTCATTCATACTAAAGGTATTGTGAGCACTTGAGCTCACTAAAGACATGTAATAACCTCCCCCAACCCCAACCCCCATACGGTCGTAATGATTTTCTTTGAGGAACCCGAAATAAGAGTCAGACGAAAAAGAAAAGTAAAAGATGCCCAACTGCATTACTGAGTATGTTATAAAGAATTCCTGGGAGTTTCATTTTATTCAAAGGGATAGAAGGAGTTGCGGATAGTGATGGGTACCCTAAAGCGTGTTAGACAAACGGACAGAAGGATATACATCCCAAACATTATATACCCTCCCTCTATTCAAGCTGGGGTGTAATAGGGTTCAGTGTCAATGTTTAAATAGCTTTGTTATTACAGCATTCCGTGACCATGTGAGGCATTTGCATGGTATCTATTCTAGAGCAATAAAAAAACCTTAAAGGTCATACGAAACAATATCCTGAGCTCTGGTTTGTATACGAAAATGAGTTCATCTGAGCAATATTAATAAGCCTGAAATTACATTTTGGATTTTTTACGCAAAATAGAGGCATCAGAGTCGATCAAAATTAGTTGACTGAAAAAATGAATATCAAATAGCGTGGCTTATCTCCCTTTGCTTATGACGTCAGTAAGACCCAATGGCTACGTTCAGTACTAAAATTTTATTCAACGATCATGTATTTTGCAGCGTAATTCTTTTATCTTGACTAAATCCTAGCATGAAAACTGTAAATGTATTAGCGTGTACGATATTTAGCGGAAATTGACTTTTGAATAAGTTCGCGTAGATTTGATTTAGCGCATTTCTTCATTTTCCTATTTATGTGTATATGTGCAAGACATTAAGCGTTGTACTTGATTTAGCGGTTGCTGCGTTCCACTAAAGCTGCTAAAAAGAATATACAGCCAAATGTAAAACGTTTTCAGAATATGATTATCAGACAAGATAAGATTTGTCTTTTAACAT